GTAGAACTTTGTAAGAAACGTTTTGACTAGTAAGCTAGACATATTATTGTTCTTGGAATATCCCAATGAATGCATTAACTGACTTTTGGATAAAAGCATCTGCCAAATGCATAAATGTAAATGCAATGCCATAAATGCATAAAACTTAAACGTTAAAAACCTCCTGTCCTACTGGTAAAGAGCACTTAAACTCAACACAAGCGCTGAAGTGGCTCTCTTAATTCATATTTCTGCTCTTACTGTGGATGATTCATTGATGCACTCATTTCTGGAGAAAAAAAATGTCTTGATAACCAACATCACCTTTATTCAACATCCACCTGTAGAGGAAATCAATTAATCTTGGAGAGAATATAAAATATCATTGTAAAAACGCTTCAACATTCACTCAAATAAAATCTCTCATCATTTCATCAGGTCTTCAGAAAAATCTGACCTGAATTCAAATCATGAACTCTTTTACAGACCTGAGCAATGCAACAAGAGTCTGTATTTCTGTGCAAATAAATAGTTGATAAAATAACATAAAGACCACTTAAAGTTCATTTTTTTATCAGCCAGTCAGACAGTTCGCATTAGTTAGAGACCATTGCTGCAGTATTGATGGGAAAGACTTGGTTAAATTCTATAAATGTGAATTTTGCATCTGTTGCCAAAATGAATCAGGACACAATGCACAGAATATCCCACGATGACAAAAGTTAAAACATTTGCTGATAAAATTCGATTAAAAATGTAAAATGACTATGTATGGCACTCATGCATCATGATGAGGTCAAGTGACCAAAATGCATCATATACTACTGTCTGAAACATCTGTTATTGCAAAATACTATTAAAATTTACAGCAGTGAACACAGTGAGCTAGTGCTCTACTCCGAGCACAGCCCTTGAGAGAAACATCAAAATAAAACCAACTTATATTGATGAAAGAGAACAGAAGATGTCTCTGTTTAGTCTCAGGTGAGCTCTAAATCTTTATTACCTGCTCGACTTCACCGCATCATGTTTCAGGTAAATATTTGGACACAAAGGCAGACGGAGGCCTTGCGAGGTGATGACTTACCGAAGTATTTCCCCTCAGGACTCACAGTTGCACCTCATTAAATGTTTCACACGTTTAGCGACGTCTTAGAAGAGCAGCGCAGTCGTTACTGGCCTTAACACCTGAGGAGAGTCAAATAAACGGACAGATGTGACTGAATTTAGAGTCAAAGATCAGCATAGAACCACATTTGCAACATGTTTTACCAATGCAGTGAATGGGTGCCGTCAGAATGAGAGCTGATAAAAACATCACAATAATCCACAAGTAATCCACAGCACTCCAGTCCATCAGTTAACATCTGGAGAAGACAAAAGCTGAAACAAATCCAGCATTAAGACGATTTTAACTAAAACACATAGAGTCCATAATCCATAATAACGCTTCCTCCAGTGAAAAAGTGCATCTGAAGAAACAAACTCATCCTGATCTGGGATGAACTGAGCGAAATGCAAGTTTTAGATGTCTGGACTGCTTTCAGACATGATTTAATAAGGAAAAGCACGATCACACATGTTAAAATGAGCGATCAACTTTAAATCTAAGAACCTCTGAAGAGCCTTATTGCTGAAAGCCAGTGAAGAAGCGGAGTTCTTGAGTGCTGAGCTGAGATGGTTTCTCGTGTTCAGAGGAGGCTGATCTGGGATCAGGGTGGGCAGGTTCACGCTGTCTCGACATATGGCCGGCGCGGTAAATCTGATTAATTTGGGAGGACCAGGACAGACTGCACCGGGAAAACCCAGCCAGGTTCTCCTCCAGAGCGGCTAAAAACAGACAAACAGACGTCAGACCCTCAGATGGTCCTGCTGAGGACGGGTCTGTGGGTCTCAACAAGACAAAACACAGCACGAGGATCCAAATATACTCAACCGAGCTCAGTCACAGCGGTCACGTGACTCGGACACAACACGGTCAGATCAATTACAGGAGAACCTAAAGCATGAAACATCTGACCTCACTGGATGAAATGATGCTTTTGAAACTCTAAAAAACTTTTCAGCTTACTGTATGTCAAAAATAACGATGAGTTTGATTAAAATAACATCATAGAGAAATAGAAATAATCAGCTTAATACCACAAACAAACATCTTCAGGTCATTATGCACTGAAAAATAACTTGTCTTGAATAATAATTATATGTGACCCTGGAGCACAAAACCAGTCATAAGGGTCAATTTTTTAAAAATTGAGATTTATGCATCATCTGAAAGCGGAATAAATAAGCTTTGTTTGGTTTGTTAGGATAGAACAATATTTGAAAATCTGGAATCTGAGGGTGCAAAAAAAATCTAAATATTGAGAAAATCATCTTTAAAGTTGTTCAAATGAAGTTCTTAGCAATGCATATTACTAATCAAAAATTAAGTTTTGATATATTTACGGTAGGAAATTTACAAAATATCTTCATGGAACATGATCTTAATATCCTAATGATTTTTGGCATAAAAGAAAAACGGATAATTTTGACTCAAACAATGTATTGTTGGCTATTGCTACAAATATACCCCAGCGACTTAAGACTGCTTTTGTGCTGCAGGCTCACATATGGTGATGATGATGATAATATGGAAAATATATTATTTTGATGATTATTAACAGAAACTTGGAGTATTATTATAGGTAAATTACTGTAATTCATTTTATAATTCCATATATGCAGTGATGGGTAGTAACTGATTACATTTAATCTGGATTACATCATCAGATTCCAAAACATAAGTACTCGTAATTAGATTATATTACATTTTAAAATGCTCTTAATCATATTACAGTTACTTTTTATGGATTACATGATTACATATTCTTCACACAATGGCAGCAATTTATTCAGGATTTATTGATTTCTCCTAATTCTTCCTAATTTGGCTTTCTTTCTAAAAAATCCTACCGTGAGTCGTACCATTTAGCTTTGAAAAGCTTAATGTTTAATGCATTTTATGTTGTTGATATCAAAGAATTAAACATTTTTTCTTTCTCTTCTTTCTAATTCATTTTATATCAATGTGGTACATTTAATAAAACAAGTAATCTTTTAAGTAATCTAAAAAGTAATCAGAATACATTACCTAAAATGAGTAACCTAGATTAGAGTACGTTACTAACCACAATTTTCATCGTAATCTGTAATCAGTAACAGAGTACAATTTGTAAGTAATCTACATATATAAATATATATATATATACACATACTATACATATACATACAATGATTATTATTATTATTATTAACAGAAACTGTGAGTGTCAATATAAATAGATTACTTAACCCCAATTCAATTTATAATTCCATATTATTATTATTATTATTATTATTATTGCAATATGATTTGTTTACATCTTGATATATTGCCGTTTTTTCATCTTTTTGCCACTGTATTTAAGTTAGATAATTTTAATATATTGATAATAATATTAGCATTAATTCTATTTTAAGTAATATATTAATCTAATAGTTTATCAAATGACGACATTGGCAGTTTGAAGGTAAAAAAATCATTTTATTAAACATTTATTGCAATTATTATATTTTTGTTGTGAGATATACAGTTACAGAGACTGGTCAGAGTAATAGTCAATAGTTTCTGCTTTGAAACGGCATTGTATTGTGAAAGAGCTACACACACACACACACACACACACACACACACACACACACACACACACACAGATATCTAGTGACTGAGCTGCAGTCAGACTGAACATCCGCCTGTCACAGACCAGAGATCAGCTGCAGACACACCGTATCCCAGCATCCTCGGCTGATGAGATTCAGCAAATATATGTATGAGTTATTATTAGGTGCAACTGATGAGAATTAGCGCATATGAATGTATAAAGTGAACTCTGACATGTTCAAACCTTGCAAATGTGATTTCCGATTGCATGCATGTAGCACATTTAAACATCTGTTAATAATGGATTGATGGTC